AGGGATGGTAGTGGTAGGTGGTGGGGTTGAAGTTTAATTTGAAACTTCTGGGTGGGCACAAAGAACGATGGGCGGATGCACAGGAGAGGAGATGCTTCTATTCCCCCCGGTGACCATGTTTCTACCTTGATGAAAACAATTGAAAATCGCGTACATTCTCGTTACGGCTGTTTTTTATTGGACTCTGCTGCGCGCCCTGTCCCCCTCTTTCCAGTCTCCATGAACGCACGGCCACTCCTTCAATTCCTTCCATCATCACTTAAGCTTTTATTACTACGACGTTGGCAAGTAAGCTAGCAACTCTCGAGAAAGAATCAAATAAAAAATATATAGTGTAATGACATGGATGATGATGATGTATATATATATATATGCCTGCTGGTTGACTGCTTTTGCAGCTTGAATTATCCGGGTAAAAGCATTCAACTCAACCCTCTCACTCCATCCATCAACCACCTTTAATTAATTTTAGGGTCATATTCTCTCATCGATCCCTTCGTCAACAGACAACAGTTCGCCTCAACCTTAAGTATACAATCCAAGTCCCATCTGCATATGACTAAATATGTATCTTTATGTTGGGTTTTGCGACACGTGTGCGGATGGACATAAATAACATATATAATTTCTTCTTAATTATACTCAGTTGGTTGGTTGCTCGATTTATGGCCACCCATATTTTAAAGAGTAGCCCCACGCTGACACCTTCTTTCCTTGGCATAAACAAAATCAACAAACCGCCGGAGACCTGCAGGATGGAAATTACGATGGACCGATCCAATGGTTATTTTTGTTGGTAATTCGTATTCTCAGGGATGAGGATGATGATGATGATGATGATGATGAAAACCCATTACACAGATTGGTTGGTGAAACTGAAACACAAACAGCCTCTCTCGGACTTTAAAGAATTTGTTCAGTTTTCCTATGATCATGTGCTGATTCATAAGCCTACAGTACAATTGGCAAACAAGAATTTACATGGTACAGAAGCGTCAACAAATGGCGCTTTTCGTGCAACCTCAGGTCATCCAGGATTGTTCACATCACACGGTAACTGAAACAAGTTAATTACAGATTTTTGGCGATAGTTGATGGAGGTTACAGCTTTGGGTTTTTGGATTGATTGATTCATAGACGACTTACTAACATAAATCCATCCCTTCTTCTGTTGGTAAAGAAAGAAAACAGCTTTAGTAATAGTCAATAGCTTTATTTTGGTCCCTCCTTTAATGGATTGGAAGTGAGCACTAGTAGAAAGCAGGAAAATGCAAAAGTTATGATTTACAGTTGGAATGGTAACTGGTAAGGGACCATGCTAGATACTTTTTGGCTGGTTCGAGCGACTAGGAAAATTATTGAAACATGGCCATGGTGGGTAGCCAGGTAGGCAAAAGCTTAAAACAAGAATGAACCCAGGTATCCTACTAGGGCAGAAATCAGCTTCAAGGCTTTTTTTCTCTATATATGGTGGTAAACATACACACCCGCCCCAGCAATTCCCAGAGAGAGTGATATTCATATGAAGTTTAACTCCAAGGCTTTTGCTCATTTTTGTGAAAGAGAGAGAGAGAGAGAGAGAGAGAGAGAGAGAGAGCATTGCAAATGTAAAACTAACAAATAAATCCAGAAGACAAAACATAAGAAAAGTTTACAAAAATCCGGAAAATTAAGAAATATCTTTCCGTTTCAACAAACGAAAATGACATAGGACAACAATCAAAACCCATTAAGCATTGAGGTTTCAAACAAGAACGGAAATATTGGAGCATCACTACGCCTTGTTTTGCTTCCTTTCCTTCTCTTGTTAGCTTTTTAGTTTGGAATTGTGATAACTATGATGTTTTGAGAATGGGGCAGGATGATATTGTTCGATCTGTAGTAACTAGTAAGGAATCTCCGGCGCCGGCCCAGTAATTTCATGAACCCAATAAAAATGAAGCATAGGCTCGGGAGGGGAGAAAAAGAGTGTGTTAATTAACCCTATAAAATGCATTCTTTTCTTCGTGTCACTGGTGACAACATACACTTTGTTTCGTCAATTATAAGGCAAAAATTTCTAATGACTAGATACAATTCAAGCCCAAGATTATCCCAGATCCTTGTCACATTCTTGGGATAGAACCAGTTGGATATTGGCATATATTGGTCTGAAGTTTAATTGATCACAATTCAATTGCAGAAAGACGAACAACGGACAATTCTGAAGTTTTATCAATCAATACATGCTTAAAATACCCCTACTTTTATTTTGTTTGGGCATAGCTCAGGGTCCATTGGGTTTGCGAAATCCCCTAGAATCGGAATCCAAATCGCCTACTCCCCCACCAGTTGTCTGGTTTAAATGGAAATTGGAATCAATTCTATAAGATACGCATGACTCCTAAGGAGGGTTGGTTTAAAGATAAATAGCCATTCTCTCAAATCGGAGAATGCCATTCTGCCAAAAATCGAAATCAGAATCCCATTCCACCCAACCAAATGGCTTGAATAATTGAATTGCAATCGCAACCAAACGGACCCTCAAATTGAAAAATACTCAGTTATATCTAATTAAATGATATAAAGCTTCAACTCTTCAATAACATAATGAGAATAATGCTATGAGATATTGAATTTATAAATGCTGAATGCTAACCAGGCTCAAGGATTGTTGAAATGAAATATGTTTTATTTTTTTATGAAAGCGTAAAAGAAAGTTTTAGATCATCATGATCGATGCACCCATTCTTTTCTATGCATATTTTAGACTTATCATTCTATGTAGACTATCTTGTTGAAAACCAGATACCTCCCCTACCCAAGTCAATTAACTTGAATTGCAATAACTATATCAAACGATTTCCTATTTAGATTTTTTTTAATTAATATAAAATGCCTAGTAATACTAATACTCCATCGTTTATAAGTTAAAATAAGTTTCACATCTAAATTCATAAAAACATGAAGTTCTCTAATTTGGTATTTCTAGCCGAGTGAATGAAATTCAAGTTCAGGCATGGTTTTTCAGGAAAGTTAAAAAGGAATAAGCCAGTATTACGGAAAGTAAAGAGGACAATGATGAACACAAGTAGTGTGCAAACAAAAAGAAACAATATCTAATTGTTCTATAATACTCACCAGAAATAATTGATTTAGTGTTTAAAAAAAAAAAGACTGTTATGCAAACAAAAGAAATACAACACAATGTTGATCGACCAACCATACATGCCAAAAACAGTTTATTAATAACAAGCTTCAATTAGGTAAACGAAAATGGCATTCCTTATTTTAAGGACTTATCTCCTTTTTTTACTGTTAAAATGCTCCTATGAAAACTGAGTTTTTAACTGCAAAAATGAGATAAGCCCTTGAAATAAGGAATGCCAAATGCAGCCTAATTAGCATCCAAACAACTAGGACTGCAAACTAGAATTCATAAGGCTTCTATACTTATTAACTGTAAAATTGAGCTCAAATCAACACATTTTCATTTTTTTTTTCACTAACGTGTTTGGATACTTTCAAGCACATACTTTCGTGGTACAATATTACTTCAAAGGCATTAAGAAAGAATAAATATAGTACTGATTTTTATAAGGGATCGAATATAATTGAACAGACCCCTAATTAACTTACTGGGAAAATAGACCAACAAAAGTACAGTGAATTGCAATTTGCATCTTACTGCAACATGATGGATCCATAACAATGAAGCACACTATTTAGAATAGGTGACAACTCAAAAGTTCATAATTAAGGGATTTGATTTCAGAACTTGTGAGCAACTTACCAAGTAGGCTAAATAAAAATTAGGCCGTTGGGACGTATGTTAATAGAGCTTCATGATGATTGCTATAAATAGGTTGATCACAGCTAGAGCTTCAACAAGTTGTAGGTGAGATGATCATCCGGCCCATATCGTCAAATATCCTGGTTTTCCTGAGTGGTGAGTTTGTTCCTTGATTATTCGTTAATATATACTAAATTTTCAGCTTTGGTGATCACGAATTTATTGACAGGCAGGCAGCTAATTAATTAGGATCTAATAAGCTAAGAAGGGATATGAAACCTGACAATTGTAAATCGCCCAAACAAAAATGAGGACTACAAATATTTCCCCAATTATGTGATTAATTGCTAAGAATCTTACAAACCAAATGAGAGGCATATTCTGTAGAATATATATCGGTGTTGAGAGTTTTCAAAAAAGTAAAGGAGGTTCTGTAATATTATTGAGTGCATTTTCTTTCTTCCTCTGTTTAAGTTTCTGATTGTTTTATTACTGTGGTTGCTTCTTTAAAGGGCCTAGAGTTCGGGGAAGAGTTAAAACCACCGGGTTATAAGATCAAATGGCATAATTTGGTACGCAAGAACAATGTGAAACAAAACCACTGTATGACTTTCGAAATGCGTGAAAAAGTAATCTTCATCCCTATGTTGTTCAAGGCTTTGATTTAAGAAACCCATACCGTTTTTTTTTTCAAAAGATATTAAGAAAAGAATTGACTTCTTCAAGGATGAACAATCTCAGTATACGAAAGTTTCCTGTTTTAGGAAAGATGTTTTCCAAAAACAACTTTTTCTTTGTGTATTAAGTGCTGATGGTGAAGGTGGTTGGTAAGGGGAGACAAGAAGAATCAATCAAGAAAACAAAACTTAAAAGTTAAAACGAACCATCAAGAACCAGGAAAGAATATATAGATCCTACCTTTTAAAGTTCTGCAACTTTCTGTGCACCACCTAGGAGCCAGCGTGCCCAACGCATCAGACGCAGCAGCATCAATAACAACCTATCAAGGTAATAAAAGCAAAGTGGGGAGAAAGAAGGAAAATGTGCAATTCTATTGGCCAACTCCATGCGCATTTGTTTGTGTGTGTGTATTTGAAAGAGAGAGAGAGAGAGAGCAAAGGAAAGAAAGAAAAAGCTAGCTTCTGAACTAAACTCAATGGAGAGATTATGGCATGGATCCATTTGAGGAACCGAGGCTCTACATAATGAAAATGTGAAACGATAGCCATGATGAATCTATATTGGTATTATCTATCTATAAGTGAATTATACACAATTAAAAGATAATTCCTCGATATGGTAGCTAGTTTCTCTCTTGAGCTAGTCCTTGACGAATCCCAGACCTTAATCAACAGATGAAGTAGTGCAGTAAGAAAAATAAATAAATAAAGATAAGTAAGGACAGGTCTTCAATATAACTCAACCTTTCTTTCTATTCATTCATTAGCCATGCTAAGCGCAACCACAAAGCAATTAAGTGGCTCTCAGGGGACGGGTGACTGTAAGCAATAAGGAGAGATGTCATGAAGATCTGAGGAAATAAACAGTCCGAACCAGACTGGTATTTGTTTCTTAACATGCTCGCAGACTCCTCACTGCCCCTCTCAGATGTCCAAATTGAAGGTCAAAGACTGCTTCCCATTCTTTGGCAATTCAGGTGGCACTGTTGGTAGTGGGGCGCCACTATAGAGCCTTAATTGAAGAGGAGGAGTTGGATGCTGAGGGGAGAGAGAATCCATGGTTGTGGTTGTATGTTGGATCGTAGGGGAGGAGGACAAAGCGTGGAATTCGGGGTCCTCTGATATGGGGCAATCTAGGTTCACTCCAAACAGCCTAACACGCTTGGCGGCAGCCTTACCATGGACCACCGGGACCGAGTCGAACACCATCGGCTCATCCACACCCTGTTGCACTACTCCACCTGCTGGTAATGGGGCTGAGGATCTTAGGTAAACAACGGAACCAGCACCTGAGTTCACCACATTGTAACCATATGTATTACTGTTGTAACTAGTCCGGTGAGGATGAGGATGATGATGATGATGGTGGTGGTGGTGATGACCGTCATAATTCGGCTGCTGGAAATTCACATGGTTCCGTGATGGCATGGAAACCGACATGGACACTGTCGGCGTCGTCGGCAAGAATAATCGGCCGTGGCCCCATGGGACGGACCGGGGCAGAGAGAGAGGGTGCGAAAATGGTAGAGGCGGTAAAATAGCAGGATCTGGAGCATCGGGACGGCGCCTCCAGTCGATATACAGACGATTCCTACCAGACTCCCCGACTCCACGCTCAAATGACACGATATCTCCCGCGTCAAGCTTTTTCTCCTTCACGAATCGGCTCCACCCTTTGGTCATCACGTAGCTTTGGCTGCTATTCCAGTAAGAATATCGAAATCGCCATGGTTTCCCGCTCCGATCTTCAAAACTTAACAGGAGACCCTTCTCGTTTGCTGCAGAGTCAAGTGGGAAGTACTTCTCAGCGTGTTGCTTTGGAATAACGAGGCGGTTGAGCTTGCCCACATCGCTTGGTGTGACAACCTTATCAAACATGTGTTCCCTCTCAACGCATCCACCACCGCCACTGCTACTACCACCACCATCAGATTCCCCCCGGCTGATATCATCGCTTCTTCTTGTAGACAAATCAATGAGCTCGAGCTTCCGGTTGAAATTGGTAACAGCCTCCTGGCCATGGAACTCTAGCGGAGCTGCTGCTGGTCGATCGTAAGACCTTCCGGCCTCTTCTTCCTGCTGGTGCCTCTCGTACATCTGTCCTCCCCATCTCCTGTCTGGCTGAGGGACCACACCTTTGTATTGAGAATAAGGTGAAGAAGATGAAGATGCAGACGAGAAAGGGATCTTAGTCATACCCCTATCTACAGTCATCTCTTCTTCTTCTCCTTCTTCTTCTCCTTCTTCTTCCTCACAATACCCTTCTCCTCCTTGCTCAAACTCCATGACCAACCTCGAATTCTTTCAGTCGATCTGAGTTGTGAAGGGAAATAACAAGAAAAATCAATAAAAGGACGATCTTGTTCTTCTTTTCTTTCCTTTTGGGTTAAAACTTAATACAAGAAGAGAAGATTAAAACGGAAAAAAAAAAAAAGAAAGAAAAGCAATGACAAAGTACAGCACTTCACCTGTGCAATTTGTTTCTTGGTGTAAAGATTACTTCAAATCTGCAATGCCTAAAAGGGAGAAGCTTTCACTACAATGACGGTCGGTGTTCTCTTCTTTGACCAATATGACCCGTGCTTGAAACAAGACAAGCCATGGGCGATTCCATCGAGTGCGAATTGTTCTACTTTTTTTGTTGATTTCACACAGCGAGACAGACAGACAGAGAGAGAGAGGAGGGGAAAGGGAGCTGGGAAGTGATGATATATATATTTGGGGATTTCCTAACTGGTTACCCCCTCGAAGCTTCTCAGAGAGTTATCTGATATCTCAATATAGAGTTAGGCAATTTTCTCTTTCTTGGTTCTCAGAGAAAGAGAGAGAGAGAGAGAGAGAGAGGGAGAGAGAGAGAGGCTTTATACGTAGGGGGCCCATGAATTATCTGGTTGGGCTCATGTGAGGTTGTCCCTTTCATCATTTTCGGGTATGTGTATTTTCTTGGCCATAACTCCCTTCCCACACAAAAACACACAAAAAAAAAGGGCCAGTTGTTGAGACAATGAACTAGTGGTGAATTTGCTCAAGTAAATGAATTATTTCTAATTTCACATTTAACAAAAAGAAAAATAAGATGTCAATTTAGCTAGGTGTTAGAATTTTGACTTTGGTGGCATTGATTTTGTTCTGGCCATGGGCATGAGATAAGGAGAGCTGGGCTAGCTGGGGATGAAGTAGAACAAATTAAAATCACACGCACACGCTCACCCACTCTCATCTGGCCCCTCCCCAATCCCCTCCTCATAGGGGAAAGAATCTTAAGATTCTTTAGAGTGATGACAGTGATGATGAAGAAGAAGAAGAAGAAGAAGAATTAAATTAACAACTAGTAACCCTCAATTTAGATGTAGTTGTAATGCAAAGGAAACGTGCCACTTGATTAATTATTTATTAGTTCTAAGTTAATTAATTAATTAATTACATATATCTTGGGTATATATTGATTGGTTCATCAGTTAGGTGATCAGATTGGTTTTGTATAGTTTCTAAGCATTTTTGTTTGTTATACAACTGATGGTCTGTGCAACATTGTACATTGAAATTGGATTCTTCTTCCTTCCTTTCTTTCTTTTTTTATGTTTTTTTTTCATTTAACAGAATACAATATTAAGAGCAGTGTACTGGTCTTGTATGGATGCATGTGCCTATTGATTCATGTGGTCCAGTTGATCTTTCCTCCAGCCTTGTTGAATCGGAAACCAGCACTCCAAATACCATGCAACATGTGTTTATCATCCTATCCGTCCATTAATCCATTGCTTGATTGTCCTGATGCAATCTATCTAATCTAATTCTAATTAATCTAACTAGGTTAAAATAATAATCAGCCGCATCTCCACTCTTCAATAGCTCTGTACCCATTGAACCAGATGGCTGACCCATCTACGAAACTAATTAATACCAGTAATTACAGTACTAACGAACAACAACAACAACAACATCTATGATTGGATTTTCTCATCTCAGTTAATGTTGGGGAGGAGAGATCATCACTGTCTTGCTCAAGCACGATCAAAAGATCTCTCGAATTAATAAACAAGATATGAAAAAAAAAAAGAGAATTAATCCAATGTAAAAAACCAAACTTCTTAATTATTAATATGATGTAATATGGGTTATTATATATGCTTATTTATACACTCAAGATGCTCTTAAATTCTACTCATGCTGCAACTTTTCTGAGATAGTAAGCTTGTCAGAAGTAGAGAAAAAAAAAATTAGCAATAGATTCAGAATCCTAGTTTTAATTCAGCCCCTAGATTCAAATGGACTCAAAAATGACAAATTCTGAAGACTTACTAAAGATGGTAAAATTCCAAAAACAGTTAACTTTGGGACTAGAAAGGCAAAATTCGACCTCACGTACGGTTCCCATTCTACATTTGCTATATCAACATTCTTGCCATTTTCATGTCATCTGCATTATTTCAATGCCCAAGTAAAAATAAATAAATAAATAGTTATACTAAAGATGCAGACCATTTTCTTTCAGATTATTTTCACGTTTTTAATTTGACCCCATTTCTTCAAGTTTAACTGCTCTTAAAGAGAGATGTACTTTTGGAGTTGTAGGTATAGTTTTCTGCACTAAACTAGACCACTCAAGTGGGTTGTCTATTTGTGAGCCAATAATGCCTTTAGTCTCGGTTATTATGCCAAAAAGAAAAATAATTTCCAACTGGTTCAAAGTTCATGGGCTGCTTCCGAGGTTCCAAGACAAAACCGGCCATTTCATCATCTGGTTCAATCCAGTTGTCTCAAGGGTCTCTTGTTCACATTTTAATTAATCCATTAACATGCAACTTAAGACATGGCATTTAATTTGATACGACCAAACAACTTGCAACATCTCTTTTTTTTCTTTTATTTTTATTTAATTTCAAATTTCAAGTTTAGGGTGCTTAAGCTTGGAGGGTAGAGTAGATAAGGGGATGTGGTGGTAGTAGCGTGATGGAGATGGAACCATTCGTCATCTACCAAAAGTAGGGTGACGCATGTTTATGGAACAAATAAAAATTGTCGATGCTAATTACTTTAATTAATTAAATTATAGCGTTCTTTATTATTTATTAATTATGTGTATTGTATATACAGGGGTACGTCTTGACTACGAACTTGGCCAGGTGTCCAAAATTTGTAACCCAAGTTGCAATGCGCATCCCAAAACCGCGACAGCTAGCCCACTTGCCGCTTGAAGATTGAACCATCCGATCCAGTAATGACTTGTGATTTGATTTTGGAGTACATAAATAAACAAAATTATTCAGTTCAGGCATCCTTCTTAATCATACTTACTACATAAGAATTATGATTATATTGGCGCTCCCCCAACCCCTTACTAATTTACTAATTGCTCCTTTTCTCCATGTTTCTTATTTTTTAATAAAGAACAATACAAAGGCATTCAAGTTGTTTGAACGAGTGAAACCAAGTCAAGGGTGGGGTGGTGGGGACTGAGGACCACTGCAAATAAAGGCCACTAGGGGAGGGGTAGTGACTAGACTAGATGATCACAATTCAGTACGTAATTCATATCGCGATGAAAATTGGATGGATGTGATGAATCATAAAATGACACCGGCCAGCCCCCACGGTTGGGAGTATGTACTATGTAGTGTAGGGAATAAAGAAAAGAGAATATTAGTTGGGCGGGGTGCG